TGTGTGCATGATCAACAAACTAACATACATCATTACAAGACTTGACTCAATAAATGAAAATTACAGACTCATTTAATACGACCAATTCTATGCAATCTTGAGCCTTGAATCTTCAAAGAATGGTGCATGATGTACCTGAAATATTAGTCAACATAGAAAGACATATGCACTGCAAATACTAGGAGAAATAAAAGATTAATAAATATTATTTGTTATCATCAAAATCATAAACTCGGAAGCCTGAGTTGTAACAATTTTTGCATTGATTGACACGACACTAGTACATGAATCTTATTGGTGCTATGACATTACCTAGCACTTATAAATTTTACTTTTACCTGCATATTTTTATGGAGAAATTTTCTGTTATTCCACACAATATTTTATTTAAATTATATTTATGTTTATTTAGTCAAAATTGTATATATTTGATGTAAATCTTAGTTTATGGATTAGACTTTTGATGATAGCAAACATTCATGATCTCCTATGACTGCCTTGCCTACTAACTTTTTAGGACCACAAGATCGAATACAACTCAAGCCAGCTCAGGATCGTGTAGATTTAAGTTGAATCAAGTTTGTATTTTTTTCCTTTCTTGAGTCAATTATAAAAATGGTTCCAGATGCTAAGTAACCTTGCACACACACACACTTGTGGGTTTTTTATTATTTTCTATTTTGAGAATATCAGCATGGATGATGATCATATCGGCCAAAATGATCACACTAAAAACATAATCCCTAATTAAGGCAACCATCATTAAGCAAGATTTTTATGGATAATCCATGTATCGGCCAGGAAGATAGGCTCAGTTAAGAAAGAATCAGCCGCCATGATCAATTTAGGTTTTATTTATTTAGGACATCGTCCAAGATGATCTCAGAATCGGCCTGGATGATGCAGCACAATTATGCCTAAATTAATCTTGTAATTATGGAAAGCAATTAAGGCTGATTGATATGATCACATCGATAGGGCCGATCGCAGGATCAGGTAGGACAATGTACTGGATGATTGACATCAGCCAGAATCTATTCAGGGTGATGTTCAGTATGATTTTCCTCGAATTTGAACTAATCGTCTAGGATGATATGGTATCGGCCTGGACGATGTAACCAATTTTCTTCTGATCGTCCCAAATCATCTCGGCTGATTGAGTTTAATTTGTATTAATCGTACAGGATGATAGAAATATCATCCTGGATGATAATGTTGGTTCTTAAAATTCTATTTAAAGGACCCAAATTTTTTCATGCAAAAGACCTTGAGTGATGCTGTCTTGACCTGAGAGAGCCTTGGGAGAGGGAGAGAGAGAGAGATAGAGAGAGGAACTTGTGAGGGGGAGTTTATGAGAGGGTTCACAAAGGTTGCTCCAAGCAAGGTTCCAAGTCATCTTCTCCGTTCCTCATCCTTCATCCTTGGGAGGTCTACTTCAGAAAAAGGTCTGGGTTCTCTGACTGCTTCAGGAGGAAGTAAAAGGAGTCGGTTCTCTTCCGCACCAGGATTGGCGAAAAGGAGTCTGTTGTAATGGCTTAGCTGTGGGAGCTAAAGGAGAGATGCTTAGTTAGTGGAATACTCGTAGGGTGCCTCCGAGGAGTGGACGTAGGTCAAGGTTTGACTGAACCACTATAAATACAGTATGATCCTTCTTTATTTTACTTACGCATTTAATTTTCGCATCTGCTAATCTTTTGGTGAATTTCTTAGGTTTTAATTTTGTGCTTTACCAAAAGAAATTTTTTTTAAAAAAAATATCAATTCACCCCCAGTCTTGGTTAGGCTCGGGCTAGTTCTTAAGGGCTTAACAACCCTAACAAACTTTCAAGTGGTATCAGAGCGTGATTCATAAAAAACTAAGTTTGAAAACTTTTTGAATTTTGATCCATGGCTAAAAATGAAAATCGTAATACAGCGGAAGGGTATTTTATTACCTGACCACCTTTATTTGATAATATTCCTTTTGATTATTGGAAAACTCGCATGTCTTTATTTTTACAATCAATTAATTATCGCCTGTGGATACTTGTTAAGGACTGTTATACACCTCCAACTAGAAAATTGAATGGCGTTACTGTTCCACTTCCTTTTATTGAATGGACTCTAGATGATAGGGATTTAGCACAATTAAATGCAAAAGCTTTGAACTATTTTTTTTGTGCTTTGAAATTAAAAGATTACATGCGTGTTTCCACTTGCACTACTGGTAAAGAAATTTGGGATAAATTGTGTATTACCTATGAAGGTATTAATGAAGTCAAGCAATCTCGTTTGAATATTCTCTTGCATGATTATGAACTTTTTTGTATGAAACTTTCTGAATCGATTTATGAAATGTATACAAGGTTTACTCAGATTGTTACTTCATTACATGCATTAGGAATAGAACTTTTTAACTATGAAAAATTAAACAAAATTTTAAGATGTTTGCCTTCCTCTTTTGATGCAAAAATTACTACAATATCTGAATCTAAAGATTTAAATATATATTCGATCGATAACTTACTTGGTTCACTCATTTCTTATGAGTAAGGGGTGAACTAAAGAAATCTTGATGCAAGTGAAAGAAAGAAGGAGAAAATGGTGGCACTTAAGGAGAACGATTTGGACACTGACTCTTCCGGGTCTGAAAGTGATGATGTTGCTTTAATCACAAGGAAATTTAAGAGCTTTCTTAGGAAGAAGCACAAGAATCATCAAAAGTGGAATAAAGGTAAGGGTAGAAAATTTTTTAAGAATTCTAATGATATAATTTGCTTTGAATGCAGGAAGCCTGGGTACATTAAAGCTGATTATCCTATGCTTAAAGACCTAGTTTGAGGTGTCCCCAAGCTTAAGTTTTCAGAAGATCACCTTCCTAATGTCTGCCAATTAGGAAAGTAAATCCACTCCACTTTTGACTCCATTAACGATATTAGCACCTCTAGACCTTTAGAAGTCCTTTATAAGGATTTATTTGGACCCATTAGCACTGCCAGCTTGGGAGGGAAAGTATATGGTTTTGTGATTGTTGATGACTACTCGAGATTTACTTTGATTAGATTTCTCTCACATAAAAATGAGTCCTCTGATGAGTTTAGAGCTTTCTTCACTTGTATTAAAAAAAAAAAACTAGGTTGTGAGATCTTGACAATCCATAGTGACCATGGGGGAGAGTTTGAAAATGAGAGATTTGGAGATTTTTGTGAAGATAAAGGGATTAGCCACAACTTCTCAGCTCCTAGGACCCCTAAGCAGAACGGGGTAGCTAAAATTATAAACCAGACCTTAGTGGAATCCGCTAGAGCCATGCTTGCTGAGTATTCACTTCTAAAATACTTTTAGGCTGAAGCGGTTAACACAGCTTGTTATGTGTTGAATAGGAAGAATTTAGAGCCAAATTAGATAAGACATCCTATGAAATCCTTAAGGGTAGGACACCGAATCTTTCCCACTTCATGTATTTGGTTGTAAGGTTTTCATTCACAATAATAAAAAGTCTCACTTAGGAAAATTTGACCCAAAATCTGATGAAGGAGTGTTCTTAGGATATTCTAGTGTTGGAAAATCCTTTAGGGTGTTTAATAAGAAGACTTTGGTGGTGGAAGAAACTACTCATGTAGAGTTTGATAATTCTGATCCAAAAAAGCCTAGAGTGGAGGATGATGATGATGTTGGAGAGATTACGACTGGAGTATAAAATTTAGAGAAGAAGGCAGAGCACCAAAACACTGAAGGAGTAGGAGAGGTTACCCAAGGAGTAGAAGATGTAGATCTGAAGTAAAGGGTTGAACCTTCACAAACCTTGCCTAGAGATTGGAGATACTCTTTGAGTCGCCTAAAGATCTGATCTTAGGAGGCCCTTCTGATGGAGTTAGGACTAGACATGGACTTAGGAAGGAAGTGAACCACTTTGCCTTTATCTCAATGATTGAACCCACCAATATAAACCAATCCCTTTCTGATGAGTTTTGGATCTTAGCCATATAGGAGGAGTTGAACCAATTTGTTAGGAATGATGTTTGGGAGCTTGTAGAAAGACCTAAGGGACAAAGTGTAGTTGGAACCAAGTAGGTCTTTAAGAATAAGGTGAATGATTCTAGAGTGGTGGTTAGGAATAAGGCAAGATTAGTGGCTAAGGGGTATAACCAAATAGAAGGGATACATTTTGAGGAGGCTTTTGCCTCTGTAGCAAGATTGGAAGCCATTAGAGTGGTATTAGCCTTTGCCTGTTATAAGGGATTTAAGCTTTCTAAATGGACGTTAAGAGTCCCTTTTT